GATAATGCCGCAATTAACGTGTGTACAAAGGTTTGTATAGTAAAAACTTCAGTGACCAAGGACTAAATGGTGAGGAAAACCTTTGTAAATTGTGATTTCATTTATACTTAAAAGGTTGATAATCGGATAAGCGGACCAGTCAAATAAATTTCTCCAACCGGAAATTAACTAGTTAAGTTAATTTTGAAACATGAGGTCAGAAACATCAGGCAGCCAAAAAAACAGTATTGCTATGAAATACGTTAGCCGACTTACATCCATGGTACAGGAAAACAGCACATACCTCTCTGGAGCTCTAAGTGGGTTGTGAAGTCCATGCTTTGGGCATTTAGATAAACTCTCCACAAATGGCTGCACCACAAAAATATTGCATATTGTTTGAGAACACACTTTGGAGCTAATAGACACACGACAATACCAGTAAAGTTGTTTTTTTTTTTGCGGGGGAATACCAGTAAAGTTTAAACAAAGAAAAGTCAGTCTTTGTATTTTAAGCTGAGAAAAGTTCACAAAAATTGATAGATATGACTAAATTGCACTCGTAGCACTGTAACATGGAAATCAAAAGAGAAGCACCCCAAAGAATCAATACCTTTATTTCAGATCCCTGAACCTCAGCAACTTTGATAAATTTTTCGCCATTTAAAGGATCAACTATCCAATTCCAGTTAGCAGACTTTATCCATTTTCCCTGCACTGAACTTAACTTCGTCAATGGATGTGGTGAAACCATGTTCTGGCCATTCAATTTCAGGTTCCGTACTGTTAAACATACTTGCTCAACAGTAGTACAGTAGTGAATGCTCAGCAGTAGTACAGTGCAGAACTACTCCCTCCGTTCCAAAATAGATGACTCAACTTTATACTAACTTTTGTACAAAATTGGGTCATCTATTTTAGAACGGAGGGAGTAGGTGTGAGCAAGTAATCATAACACGAGCCTAAAAAACAAAGCACCACAATGACTGACCAAACACATCTTGCCCATTTGGCCCAGTAGGAACTTCACAGGAATGAAGTCTGATACGGATGGCACAAATCGGACGCGGTGGAAAGCTCCTTCTCGAGTAAAATTATTTCTATCCACCTTCACCATAAAAATAACCCTATTCCTACACATCGCTCTTAAACATCACAAGCAGTAATCAGTAACCCGCTGGATAGAGACAGCTCTGAAGCGTGTCCATGGCAAAGCTAGCAAGCAGGCAGGACCAATTTAAAGCAACCCATACAAGCAGATCCCCTAAATGCCGGTCATCTCACCAAAATTCTGCACTTCCGCCGGGCTTGAACCAGAGATCTCCTCGGGGGACACCGTCGCAAATGCCGGCGTGTGCAGCCACCTGCGCGTCGCCCAAAACTGTCAGTAACCGCCCAAATACAAACCAAATGGTCCGCGGTCAGTGCAGAATCGAGCGGTAGCAAATCAATTGCAGGCCCCCTCACAACCCAGCCCAGATCGCGCCTGAAATCGCGATTCCAGCTCTCGTGTATGTATGAAATTCGCATCAGACCACCCGACGGCGTCAGACAGTTTCCCCCGCGCACGCCACGGATGATGATAAGCTTGGACGGAGCCGGATCGCGACAAAATAAGAAGAAAAACGGAGCGGGGATGAGAGGCGGAGGCGGGTCACCTGGAAGCGAACGCGGCGGGGGATCGTCGGAGGGCCGCGGCGGCGGCGAGGTGCCGCCGGGAAACGAGGCGGCTCATCGGCTGGCTACTCGCGCTCGATCTCACCTGGGAGCACGGGACGCGGCGGCAGTGTGGTGTGGTTCGACTAGGATGGAGTGACGTCGTCGTCTCGCTCACTGCAGCCTGTGCCCCTGTGGTCCATTTTATAAGGGAAGATTAAGTGTACTGTACTTCCGTATGATTGTAGGGAACCGTTTTAAATATGGTTTATTCCCTTCAAAAAATTAGGAAGTGGCCAAGTGTAAGTTGACTGAAAATTTAAACGGAAATGATAAATCGATTTTAAGCATGTCAAACCAAATCTTTTTATGGCAACTTTAGTTCACGCGAGGTTAGTAAACATAGCAATTTTCTGACAACAAAACGAACTTGAACAAAGTTGTCATGTTTTAACAACTAGAGTTGCCATGGAAAAACGTCCGGAATGATATGCTTACAATCCGAACGTTCGAGATTTATCGGGGTCCAATTTAAACTAGGTCAGTCGATTCTTTCTGGTCGTCCGATGCAAAATGAACAGCCTGATCCTTCTTCAACCTCGGGATGTTCTTCTACATTCAACAATTCCTCCCCCCCCCCCACCCAGTCGTCCCACGGGCCACCGGTCACCACTGCCCGCGACCGGCGGCACTCTCACGCAGCCTCGCCGCCCCGCCCTCTC